AGGAGACTCTCTTGAGCCCAGGAGTTGGAGGTTGCTGTGAGCGTGATGCCATGGCACTCTACCCAGGGGGATAGCTTGAGGCTCTGTCTCAAAAAAAAATAAAAATAAAAAAGAGAGATTTGTAAGAATGGGTAAGACAGCTGTGTTGGGTTGTACTTGCCAAGGTAAGCCTTCTAAGGGCTTAAACGCTCGTTTGCATCTTCTGTGCCCTCCTAGACTCTGAAGGATAATGGGCAGCACCTGTGGAGACCCAAGAGGTTCCCCAGACCAGTCTACTGCAACCTGTGCGAGACCAGCATTGGTCTTGGCAAACAGGGCCTGAGCTGTAACCGTGAGTGACAGGACCTGACCATGTGGGAAAGGAGGGCAGCCTAGTCGTACGTGGGAGCACAGCACTCTGCCATGAAAGAGGCCTAGGTTTGAGGCCTGGATGTGAAACCTATCTCCTGGGTCTTCCACTTACTAGTTATGTGACCTTGGGAAAGCTACATAACTTCAATAACTCTTAATTTCCATAACTGAAAATGAAGTCATTGTGACTATTAAATAAATTGGTGCAAGTGCTTCCCACAGTGGATACATCTGCTATAAAATGTGATCAAAATTAGGTTTTATTAGTGTTGTTAAATCTAGACTCCTTTGCACCATCCACCTCAGTTCCTGCCTGGCACATGGATGGTGTGGGGACAGTCGTGGGGTAGCAGTTGCTCTGTTACGAGGAAGAGTGAGGAAAAGGCACAGGTCTTGGAGGTGAGACCCTACCTCAAACTTTAATTCTCTGCCACAGCCTCACATCAAGGAGTTATATGACTTTTTTTTTTTGAGACAGAATCTCACTATGTCACCCTCAGTACAGGATCATGGCATCACAACTCACAGCAACCTCAAACTGTTGAGCCCCTGTTGAGGGGCTTAAGCAATTCTCTTGCCTCAGCCTCCCAAGTAGCTAGGACTACAGGTGATTGCCACAATGCCCTGTTATTTTTGTTGTTGTTGTTGTTTTAGCACGCCCAGGCCAGGTTCCAACTACCAGCCCTGGTGTATGTGGCTGGCACCCTAACCAGTGAGCAACCAGCCGAGCCAGGTTATATGTCTTTTTTTTTAATTTTTTTTGTAGAGACAGAGTCTCACTATGTCACCCTCGGTAGAGTGCCGTGGCATCACAGCTCACAGTAACCTCCAACTCCTGGGTTTAGGCTATTCTCTTGCCTCAGCCTCCTGAGTAACTGGGACTACAGGTGCCCAGCTATTTTTTGTTGCAGGTCAGCCTGGGCCAGGTTTGAACCCGCCACCCTCGGTATATGGGGCTGGTGCCCTACCCATTGAGCAATAGGCACCACCCCAGGTTATATGTCTAACTGCAGTGAGTGATCCTGCCTCACCCCTAGGTAAGGAGGAAACAGGGGGAGGGGCTGCAGCTAAGGCTCTGACCTTCTTTCCTTTCCCTCAGTCTGTAGGTACACTGTTCACGACCAGTGTGCCATGAAGGCCCAGCCTTGTGAAGTCAGCACCTATGCCAAGTCTCGAAAAGACATTGGTGTGAGTGACCTCACAACCCCTATTTCACCACCCCCATCCTGGCCCTGCTCTTGGCCCGTTCCTGCCCTCAAACTCTCCCAGACAAGGGACTGCCTTTCTCCTCAAGGTCCAATCACATGTGTGGGTGCGAGGGAGCTGTGAGTCTGGACGCTGCGACCGCTGTCAGAAAAAGATCCGGACTTTCCACAGTCTGACCGGGCTGCATTGTGTATGGTGCCACCTAGAGGTCAGTTCAGGAGCTGTCCTTCCAGGCTCTGCCTTGGCGCCCCCAGGGGAACCACCCTCTCTTCACAGCTCTGCCAGCTAAGTCTTCCTTACAGCCGCAGCTAACCCTGCTCCCAAGGTCTCTCTTCCAGCTAGACCCCTAGGTTAAGAGGTAGCAGGGTCCTCTCTGTGATCCTTGTGCCCACCTTGTCTTTCAGATCCACGATGACTGCCTGCAAGCTGTGGGCCATGAGTGTGACTGCGGGCTGCTCCGGGATCACATCCTGCCCCCATCTTCCATCTATCCCAGTGTCCTGGTAAGACTGTTGGGCAGCAACTGGGAGTGAACAGGAGTGTCTCCCCAATTCCCCACACAAATAGAATGCCATGGCTTGGCGCCTGTGGCTCAAGTGGCTAAGGCGCCAGCCACGTACATCCAAGGTGGCAGTTTTGAATCCAACCCGGGCAGCCAAACAACAATGACGGCTGCAACCAAAAAATAGCCAGGCGTTGTGGCGGGCACCTGTGGTCCCAGCTACTTGGGAGGC